TATGGGAAACCTCGAAAGACAAACAAATTGTTTTTGTCTTGCGAGGCATCGGTTTTGCGGAAAAAAATCATCTTGTGAAGCACGGCCATAGAAGAAGCCGTCTTGCGAGTCACCAACACGATTGCAAAATGCTTTCATCTTGCGAGGTTTTTGTCCGGCAAGGCGTTCGTCTTGTGAGGTATCACTATACAATGATGATTACTTCAAATAATCCCTTAAAAATAGGTAGTGGTAGCCTCAGACATTTCTTTGTTGAAAGTACTCCAGCCACCCAATTCCAAAAGAATCAAGTCTAATGAAAAATTACATCTCTGCCTGCTAGGATGTGATAGGAAAGATAAGATCCGCTGTTGACAACAATAAGATGCAGTTTTCAATAGATGAAACAAGTGATGTAAATTGAAGATATATAGCTAATGTTATTACTGGCATTCTGAAATATGATGAATGTGGTGAAGTGTTTCTTCTAACATATGAAACTCTAAACAAAGTAATAAATTCCATTATTGCTATGCTCTTCAAACACTCTATGAAACTACTCTGGCAGGAGGGTATAAAAAGGGATAACAGATTCATAAAATCATAGAATAGTGAAGATAGAAGGGGCCTATAAGGCCATCAAGTCCAACACCCTGCTCAATGCAGGAATCAAAATCAAAGGATATCTACCAGGTGCTTGTCTAAGTTCCTCTGGAATGCCTCCAATGTTGGGAGTTACAACCTCTCGAGGTAACTGATTCCACTGTCATACTACTATAACTGTTACGACGTTTTCCCTGATATTTAATCAAAATCTGGCTTCCTGTATCATGAGCCCATTGTTGTGTGTCCTGCACTCTGGGATGATGAAGAACAGATCCTGCCCCTCCTCTGTATGACAGCCTTTCAAATATTTTAAAACTGCTATCATATCACCCCTCTGTCTTCTTTCTTCAATGCTAAACACACACAATTCTTTCAGACTTTCCTCATAGGGCTTGGTTTCCAGCCCCCTGATCATCCTTGTTGCCGTCCTCTGAACTTGTTCCAATTTGCCAGTATCTTTCTTGAATTGTGGGGCCCTGAAGTGGACACAATGCTCAAGGTGAAACCTAACCAGTGCTGAATAGAGGGGGACTAGCCACTCGTGGGATTTGGAAACTATACTTCTGTTAATGCAGCCTAAAATAGCACTTCCCTTTTTAATAGCCACATCACACAAGACCCTTCTTGCTCGCAGTTTTGCTGAGCTAGGTATCCTTCATCTTGTAACTGTGCAATTGGTTTCTTTTTCTGAGGTGCAATACTTTGCACTTATCCCTTTTGAATTTCTAGATGACTGGATCTATTCCAGTAGGGCTTCAGGCCGCACCATGGTACAGAAATGGCATTGGTCGCACTGTTAAATGACCTATTGCGGGAGGCCGACAGGGGGAAAATGTCTCTGTTGGTCCTCCTCGATATCTCAGCTGCCTTTGATACCGTTGACCACGGTATCCTCCTGAGGAGGATCTCCAAGTTGGGAATTGGTAGCCTGGCGCTGGCCTGGCTCCAATCCTTCCTGGGGGATTGTCCTCAGAGAGTTCAGCTTGGGGAGAGTGACTCAGCCCCGTGGAGTCTCAATTGTGGAGTTCCACAGGGCTCACCTATCTCCCCAATGCTGTTTAATATCTATATGATATTAAGGTATAGAAGAAAGAGGGAGGTATAGAAGAAAGAGGGAGTATGTACCCCCTTGCTTGTTTTCATAATATAGGATGGTCATATTGTCAGTGGCCAACTGAATGGCGCAGTTGACGACGAGAGGATGGAAGGTACGAAAGGCCTTGATGATAGCAATTAGCTCAAGATGGTTGATACATATGGTTTGTTCTCTTTTTGTCAACAGGGCATGGATTCTGTGGCCTTGACAGTGAGCACCCCATCCTGTGGGGCTGGCGTCAGTGGTGACCTGAGTCGTGAGCTGGACTGCCAACTGCAAGTTGTGGGAGGAAGGTCCATCAGGTAAGTTGGTGAGCTAATTCCCTGGAAACTGTCAACTGTTTGCGGGGGAGGGGTGTCGATCATCGGGTCGAATAGGGAAAGGTATCAGGCTTGAAGAGAATCTTGTTTTGAGTCTGGCATGATGGATAACTGATGTAGTTGAGGCCATGAAACCAAGAAGATGTTGGGCCCGATGCGCTAAAACTGAGGTGAGGGGATGAAAAGACCATACTGCAGATTTTAGCTTGGTTATTCGCTTTTGGGGCAGAAATGCCCTGGCCACAGATTATTTGAGGCAAGCACCTATATAGTTTGAGAGGGGTCTAGTTGAGATTTGATGAAGTTGACCTTGAGCCTGAGGTCTGCTAATATGGAGAGAGTGAAACGAGTGTCTCCCAAGGCATCTTGGTAAGAGTTAGATACAATTAACCAATAGTCATGTAGGGAAAAATGGTATGCTGTGTAGGTGGAGGTGTGCCACGACTGGTGCAAGGCATTTTGTGAAAGTATCAGAAGGGGCAGGGGGAGGTCCCTTGTAGGTGGTAGTGACCTGAAAAGATGAGGTACGGAGGTGCGAGTGAGAAATAGAAACCGGTACCAAAGATGTATGTGAGCGTTTGGAGGTAGGTTGCTCTGTTGGATGCGAAGAAGTACACTTGAGAGCTGATTTGACATGTAAAAGAGCCGGAAGAGAGGACTGAAGTTTGGATGTATGAGCCAGATGTCGATGTTGGGGTGGAGATGGTGATGGTGATGGAGAAGGCTCAGATGGATAAGTGAATGCATATTGTGCTCTCTTTGGTTCATCATAATAATACTGTCTAGTATGCAGGTTGATTTCATATCTGCAATCTTGGGGGTAGTAAAACTCCTGATGCAGAGGATCCTGGAAATCAGGTGAAAGATTATGCCTCTTCAACACATATTTGCGGGGAGGAGACTGGTGCGGAGAAGACTCAGAGTTAGAAAACGGAACCATAACTGCTGGCCCTGAAGATGCAGGTCTAGAATGGACCAAGGCCAGGCTGGAGAGAGCTGCTGAATGGCCAATACTAGGCAACAGGCTCACCACTGAAGCCAGAGCCTGGCCAGGAGGTAGCAGGAGTGAATCTTCTGCCTCCAACAATGAGTCAGGAACCTCTCTGGAAGACTCTTCCAAAATCGGTGAAGAAAGGTTTGACTGAGGTTAAGTAAGTTGCGTAGACTTAGATGTTTTCTTAGTCTTTTTAATCCACTCATGTCCTTTTTCTTCTTAGGTGACTGGCCCTGAGACTGTGTTGAGGATGTCTTTGATGCTAATGCCAAAATCAAGGAGGATTTAGACTGCTCCCTTGGTTTAGGAGAAGGAGTGGTCGGGTTCGACACAGGCCTAGGCACGCTTGTCTAGGGACAGGAGGCGAGGTAGCTTCCATTGAGGCGGTGGGTGGTTTAAAGGATTTCTCCCAGAGAAATGAGAGGAGACATTGGAGACAGAGCTTAAGGTCCGGTTTGGTGATGTTTATACACTCTGGGCAGGAATGGGTTTGATATTGCTCCCCTAGGCAAAAAAGACAGTGGTCGTGGCAATCTGAAAGTGGGATCTTGTTTGCGCACAACACGCACCATTTAAATGGGCCGGGGGGGCATAAAAGGAGCAGGAAGATAGAGAAGGGGGGAAATGGGGAGGAACAAAACTAGAGGGAGACACTGGGAGAAAAATTTTAGAACAAAAATAACTCACAAGGGAATGTCAAATAATGAAGTGAAAAAGCCTGGAGATGCACAAAGAAGAAATAGCAATCGCAATCAAAAGTTGCTCTAGTCGTCGAGATAGGTCTGACCTAAGTAGCGGCTAAAAGGAACTGAGGGGACTTCAGGCAACTTCCAAGAGGTCCTGCGCAGGTGCAGAATAACCCAACTGTGTGCATTCACAGAGACTACAAAGATTCATCTAATAGTGAGGTGAAATGCAGCACTAGCACTTATGGGCTATAATGTAAAGTCTGACAAAATAATATCAATTAGATATATGAGAAAATCTATCCACGAGTTCTTGCTGCAACTACAGATGCTTATTTATTTATTTATTTATTTATTTATTTATTTCATTTATACCCCGCCTATCTGATCAAATGTGACCACTCTGATGACAAAGAAATTAAATATTTTCATGCAAATGTCCAGAAAGAAATATGATCACAAAGGAAGATTCATTGATTAATCGTAAGCGACATAATGCAATAGCTGGAAATGAAATAGACACAAATATTGTTGGAGAATTTAGCCTGAGAGTTAGAATTCAAGCAAGAAAAAACTCAGAATTCTGTGAATCCAAAAGAACTGTGAATTGAAAGCAGAGAAAAGAATGCAAAATGACTATTCCTTTAGTCAAAAGAAAATATATGCCTCAGTGGGTAACTGATAAACTCTTAAAGATATTAGCAGTAGATAAGAAGCAAAAATGCAAAGTGATAGAAATTAAATCAGATTCCTAAAAACAACTTTTCAGCATTTGTCAGGTAGAGACAAAGAGAACTATTTATCAACAAAAAGCAAAAAACCCCAACAACCCAGAAATCCGTTTCACAGGAGTCATGAAATCAAAGGGGAATTCAAGCCAAATTAGGGATGCTGAAAGAACAAAAGGAGATAACTGTTTTATACCCATAAAAATAATATGGAAAGCCGAGTTATTAATATATGTAGTGTACTAAGAAGTCTTGTTTCTGAAGTCTCCCATGGAGCTTGTCACTGTACACTAAGTAAAGGATAGGAACCAGAAAAATCCTATGCATCAGTGGCTATCTTCACAATAGACCAAATTCAAAAATTCTTTTCAACAGCTAAACACAACAGTTTTTTAACCATAATGTTTATTCTTCCTGCTTGGGGGAAAAAGCAACTGAAGACCACTAGCTACATCATGACATGTTCACTATATTCAACAACCAGACTGGGATTTTGTCATTAGAACTTTTTAAAATGGCACCAACATGTTCATCCAATTTTCTTTTTCCTCTGACCTACTTACTTTCTGTTATTCCCATTGTAACACTTACCTGTAGGCATTAATGTATTCCTTCCTGTGCTGCAGAAGGAAATCTTTCAATTTCCCGATATTATTGACCTGAATAAAAAAGTTGAAATATTAAATTCAATCAGGAATGAACAGAGAACAGCATCTTTATCTTCCTGAGTTAAAATAGCTGGACAGCACTAGTAAATCACTGAGAAACAGTTCTTTGATATTATCTCAAAGTTCCATGTTACCCCATACTATTTCACATATACATGAAAAACTGGAAAGAGGCTGTCCAGAATTTTGCGGTCTGATGAAAGCTAACTCCATCTGTTTTTTTTAAGATTTTCCATGAAGCTCTTCTCTCAGTCTCTCAGGCCCCAGTGTGTGGTCACCCAACCTTCACACCCAAGGGAAGATCTTAAAGAGCAGATGGAGTTGGGTGTCACCTGCATACTGGTGGTACCAGACCCCAAAATTCTGGACAGCCTCTTTCATGTTTTTCATGTACATGTGAGACCTCTGGGTAGTTTTGGGCGGCATATAAATTGAATAAATAAATAAAATAAATAAATAAATAGCAAGGGGAATCATGGAACCCTGAGACAGTCCACAGGCTAATGGATAAGGTATCGAACAGGAGTTCCCCGGCACCACTACTATTCACGAAGTGAAATGACACAAGGGAAAATCCCAGAAGCTGAACCCCTTTTTGTCAATTAACCACTTCTCACCAAAACACCAGTTGTCAAAGCTGTTTTTCAAAGAAGTGTGAACGGTAGTGCACGCAAGAGGATATCCTGTGGACCATCTTGACTGCTTCCATGGATGTTGTCAACATTCAGGCTGGCCTTTCCTATGTAAAGCTCAGCATCCTTTTTTTCCTTTGAGATTTTTTTTCTTCGGCCAGAACGGATTAATCGGTTTTCATTGCAATCCTATGAGAAATGGTTCTTCGACTTATGAAATTTCGAGTTCCAATATGAATTAATTTCCTAAGTCGAGGCACCACTATACACAGAGGTTAATTTGTAACTGAATATAATTTATGACTGAAAACATCATTCCTGATCATAGGCATCTCCATTAAAGCACAAGTCTTTGCAGCATTTCCTGTTTTTGGGCAGCAGGAGCCAACATGAGATAGCTTTAATTTAAGTCTTAAGCTGGCAAGTCTTTTGGTAATTGAATTCCATGATTACAGAATGCCTCACAAATTCTACAAATAAAATAAAACAATGAAAAGTAACAACAGACATTTTTAAAATTGTTATCATGACAGTCTTCCCAAAAGGGGGAATCAACTAAGTAACAATAAAAATGATATGGTATTTGCATGTTAGGAGAAGGAAGAAAAGAAAAGGTTTATCTTACTTTACTGCGAAGCAAGTGTCACACACAACTTGTGAGCAACCACTGAGAATGTAATTTCTGGGATCAACACAAGATATATATCTCAGAGAGTGGTGAGGTCAAGAGGCAGTTCTGCTTTACATAAGCTCAAACGCCCAGATGCAATCGCATGTCCTCCAATTAGTCTCTTAAAAACAGTAATACTTATAACCTACCTTAAAATGTTGAGGACCAACATCTCAGTCAAAATCCTATAACTGGAGGCTCTCAACTGTCAAATGCCTGCCACTAGAAGGAAAGCAGGGAGGGTGCAAACCCAGCTTCCTTTGGTAAGGAGTTCCAGAACCTGGGCATGGTCAGCAAGAAGCCTGCCTCTCATATCTCCATCAAAGGGGCTCTGAAGGTAAGAAGAGCTTCTCCAGCAGATGTTAGAGACTTGGCAGTCTTTTAGATTACAGGGACCCAAGACAGAGAAGACTACCGTTCATAATCAGTATTTTGAATTGTTTGGAAATGAACACAGCTGGTAGCCTATGAAGATGTGAAGGGAGCTGTTCCAGGCGGCTCAAGAAACTAATACTGATAAAGTGTTGTTAAGAGTGGATGGCAGAGACATCGGTCAATGAAAGGGAAATATGACAAATGTGGGCCTTAGGAACCCCTCAGAAACAACCCTGGGACAAAGGAATGCTGTCAGTGGAAATGAAATGTAAAGGAAACCTTTGGACACTGAAAGGAATGAGTCGCAGAGCAAAGCAAAGGATTTACAGCAGATTACAGTTACAACCCTTTGACACAAGTAGCAGAAGCCATACAACAGTACCTACAGTAAGAGGAATCATTCGAATGTAGAGAGCCACATGACCTTTTCTTCTATAGCCAAAATATTTTAAATCTTAGGCCTGCAGCTGCATAACTCTATTTTAGTGTTTGCAGCAGATCTTTCTCTTCATTAAAAGTAACTTCTCACTGACAGACTCCAGCCATAGGTTTATAAAAAAGATTTGCTTTTATTGTAACTTTTAATTGTACTGGCTTGTTCCACTAACGAGAGCATTCAATGCACATCACAATGACACTATACTAAAGGCAAGTCACATCAATGCATACAATCTGCCTTAATATTTTATTGCTTATAAAGATTACAGTTTATAACCTTATAAAGGTTACACTTGTTACACCACAATCCCAAATTCTGGCATTATGTATCTGATGAGTATGCCACATCCTGGAGAATGAAGTCAAGTGGGCCTTAGAAAGCATGGCTAACAACAAGGCCAGTGGAGGTGATGGCATTCCACTTGAATTATTTAAAATCTTAAAAGATGATGCTGTTAAGGTGCTACACTCAATATGCCAGCAAGTTTGAAAAACTCCACAGTGGCCAGAGAATTGGAAAAGATCAGTCTACATCCCAATCCCAAAGAAGGACAGTGCCAACGAATGCTCCAACTACCATACAATTGCACTCATTTCACACGCTAGCAAGGTTATGCTCAAAATCCTACAAGGTAGGCTTCAGCAGTATGTGGACCAAGAACTCCCAGAAGTATAAGCTGGATTTCGAAAGGACAGAGGAACTAGAGACCAAATTGCTAACATGTGCTGAATTATGGAGAAAGCCAGAGAGTTCCAGAAAAGAATATATTTCTGCTTCATTGAGTACGCAAAACCTTTGACTGTGTGGACCACAGCAAACTATGGCAAGTTCTTTAAAAAAATAGGAGTGCCTGACCACCTTATCCATTTCCTGTGAAATCTATATGTGGGACAGGAAGCAACAGTTAGAACTGGATATGGAACAAATGATTGGTTCAAAATTGGGAAAGGAGTACGACAAAGGTTGTATATTGTTCCCCCGGCTTATTTAACTTATATGCAGAATACATCATGCGGAAGGCTGGACTGGAGCAATCTCAAACTGGAATTAAGACTGCCGGAAGAAATATCAACAACCTCCGATATGCAGATGATACCACTCTGATGGCAGAAAGTGAGGAGGAATTAAAGAACCTCATGAGGAGAGCGAAAGAGGAGAGTGCAAAAAATGGTCTGAAGCTCAACATCAAAAGAAAACTAAGGTCATGACCACTGGTCCCATCAGCTCCTGGCAAATAGGAGGGGAAGATATGGAGGCAGTGACAGATTTTACCTTATTGGGCTCCATGATCACTGCAGATGGTGACAGCAGCCACGAAATTAAAAGACCCCTGCTTCTTGGGTGGAAATCGATGACAAACCTCGACAGCGTCTTAAAAAGCAGAGACATCATCTTGCCGACCGAAGTCCGCATAGTCCAAGCTATGGTTTTTCCAGTAGTGATGTATGGAAGTGAGAGCTCGACCATAAAGAAAACTGACCACCAAAGAACTGATGCTTTTGAAATGTGGTGCTGGAGGAGACACTTGAGAGTCCCCTGGACTGCAAGGAGAACAAATCTAACCATCTTGTAGGAAATCACCCTGGATCTTGTAGGAAATCACCTTCAGGATCTGAAAGGACAGATCCTGAAGCTGAGGCTCCAATACTTTGGCCATCTCATGAGAGGAGAATACTCCCTGGAAAAGACCCTGATGTTGGGAAAGTGTGAAGGCAAGAGGAGAAGGGGACGACAGAGGATGAGATGGTCGGACAGTGTCATTGAAGCGACCAACATGAATTTGACCCAACTCCATTAGGCAGAGGAAGACAGGAGGGCCTGGCGTGCTCTGGTCCATGGGTTCAACAAGAGTCAGACACGACTAAACGACTAAACAACAACAAAACAACAACATGCCAATGCTGCAAAATGACATATCTACTTGTTTTCTGCTATTTCTGTAAAGGAATACAGTATCATATATTCCAGCCATTTTTCACCAGAAAATACTGATGTAATATGAAACCTAGACATCAGTGGATATAGCCACAAGGCAGTGGAGGTTTGAAATCAGAGTTTTCATTTTCCTAAATAGGCTGCCTTCTAAGGCTGACAAGCCCTACCCAGGCTGCTTCCTAATAATGCGAAGATTAGAAACACAGGCCTCCAGCTGCCGGACCTTGTCTTCCAAGAGGACACCAGCCTACACTTAGATCATTTGTACCTAGACACCTCATTTGGCAAGAAAACGAACATGGCACAGGTGTTACAAGTGCAACAGATCCTGCGCTCTCTATGTCAACTGATTAATCAGTGAATTAAAAAGAGAGGAAGTCTGATGATCCCCCTAAAACTTCCCTGCTCCCCCAGGCGTACACACTCCTATCTGTCTTTCCTATTTATCAAGTTAGAGTATGAAAAATAAAATCAGAGAATTTAAGTGCACCCTTCTGGTACACTTATTTCAAGCTAAAACCCCGCCTCCTCAGACCATGTGGTCAGGGAGAACAAAGGTGAGAGCAAACACCCCCTTGCAAGCCTAAAAATCCACAAGGCAAAATAAAAAAAACCACACCTAAGAAAATGTCCTCCCAGAAACAGTTCACCTTCTGCTCCCCGTTCTTCTGCAGGAAAGGGACTACACATATCCTTTGCATTTAAACACCCTTTAAAATTGATCTCAACAATAACAGACTCCTGAACTGCACTGCACACATCAATTGTCTCAAGAATAGATAGCAAATGCATTAAATACAACAACCATTTCCAACCAGTAATGCTTTGAGACACCAAGAACAACATGATAATGCTTTCTGATGTGATTCTATCATTTTAACCAAATCAACATCAATTTTAGATATTATTACTGCCCCCAGAATGTCCTCTTTACTCATGA